GGGAGGGGCACCCCACCAACCTCGCGGTGTGACAGTCAAATCTGGGGGAAATGCTGCACGGAGTAAGATGGACACCCACATGGCGAGCAGACTCTCCTGTCTCCCCGCTGCTCCCCTCAGCAGTGGGTCTCAGTCAGGCTGCCTGTTCTGCTCCCCACTTTGTCTCACCCCCCCCAATCTATGGCCTGCACCCCAGCTCTTGTATGCATAAATAAATCTTAAAAAAAAAAAAAAGGATGGACACCCCAGGCAGGCTCCGGATTACCCAGGCCGCAGGCCATGCCCATTGCTTTCATTCAGTTGTTTGCTGTGAGAGCCGCGGGGCCACACTCCAGGTGAGGGTGCGGCAGGTGGGGGCTCAGGGGCCACCTGCGAGCGCACAGGCCGCCCCGAGGCTTCCGCGGAGAAACGCGGCCCCTGGTGGTGGAATTAGGAACAATTAGGAACAACCCGACGCGGGGAGAGGCGTCCTGACCGTTCCCCGGCGTCCGAGGAGGCAGTGAGACAGGGCGGGCGCGTCCCAGACACGACAGACAGACGTGACAACACAGGTGAGCGGAGGAAGGCGCGCCGTATCCCTTGTCATCTAACCGGCGCGCCCTAAAGTTGCACCAGCGGGCAGGGTCTGGGCCCACCCCAGGGCGGGGCCCGGGTCTGTGTCTTAGGAGCCGCTGGGGTGATGCTCTCCCCCCAGGGGCCGCCTCCTCTCTAGAGAACACAGGTCCCCGCGACAGTGGACAGTGTCCCCAGGGGTTAAATTCCTCTCCAGGGGCCTCCCTGGTGGGAGGTTAAGCACCGCACTAAGAAGCAAGCCGCAGCCTCTGCAGCATGAGTTTGATCCCCGGCCAGGGAGCTACCCACATGGCGCAACAGACCTCTCCTGACTCGCCTGCTGTTCCCCTTAGCAATGTATTTCAGTCACTCTGCCTGTTCTGCCCCCACTCTGTCTCTGGTGAAACCTCTAACCCCCACACCTCTGGCCTGTACCCCAGCTCTTGTATGCATAAATAAATACATCTTTAAAAATAAATAAATTCCTCCCCAGACACACACTAGGGACCACTTTGCTTTTGCATGTTCAGACTCTAGGACTCCTCTACCCCAGCTTTGAGGTGATCTACACACACACACACACACACACACACACACACACACACAGCGCCCCCAGAAGCGTCCTGTGAAGGCTCAGCCCTGCCCCGGCCCCATCCAGGACCCTCTCAGAAGCGGGCCCACGTTTCAGGGGTCACAGGAGGGGCCTCATGGATGCCAGGGCGGTAGAAGCCAGGGTTTTCTCGCACGGTGCCCGGGACACTGCCGCGAGCCGCGGGCTTCCAGGTGCCCCTTGTGCGCACCTGCCGAAGCCGGCTCAGGATGCTCGGGCAGCTGCTCCCCCACGCCGACGGCAGCCTGGAGCCCGTGGAAAGGCCGGCCTCAGCTGGCAGCGCGGGAGCTCCACGCAGCCCCCCTCCATGCCAAGAATTCATTGAATTTGGTTAAGAAAAAATTTTGATAGGAAGTATTTTTAACTTGGTGTGGGAGGAGGAAGATGGAATAGATAAGACAGCAGAATGATCACAGGTGGGTAATTATACATGTAGATGAGTTCCGTTTGGTAATTTTCCCTTGGATTCCTATTTACACGGTTAAGATTTTATTCTAACCCCACACACCACTGCATTTTGGAGTAGTTTCTTTTTATTCTTGTATGTCAATTCTGAAATATTAAAAGGAGTTTCAAACACTGACAGATAATTTTTTTCTGGGTTTGTTTTGGTTTTTGTTTTCAGATTTGTCCATTCACCATCCTAACTGTACGTAGTAGATAGGGGATTGAAACTTGCTCTCTTCAATTAACAAGGGCTAATTACCACCAGTCTACCAGGCCCCCCAGTATGTTGGGCCCCAGGGGGAAAAAGCATCCTACTCTTGCAGGATTCCCACAAAACTATAATGTGAAGTCAAAGTAATGAGGTGAGAAGAACATCTTGAAGTGACTTAGGAAAGATAAAGTGGAAGTAATTATTTTTTTTTCTTTATATATATTACATCATTGTTCATTTTTAAACAATGTTTGCTTCTCTCCCCACTCAGGTGTAGTCCCCATAGAATTTGCTTCACCAATTCACCCGTGTACCATCACCACGGTCCCCAGTGGATATTACTTTTGATGGAGAAATCAGGAAGGACATCCTGGAGGAAGTGGCACTCAAATAGAACCTCAAAGGACAGGTAAGACCTGTGTATATAGAAAAAGGGCAGATGTGAAATGCAGAGAATGTTCTGGTTGATTAAAAAAAAAAATCAGCATGCCAGATAGGAAAAGTGGGGGGTGGCCCTGGAGAGCCCTGTGTGCTATATTCTGTGTGCCATGGGATAATGACAAACATGGAGTCCTTTGACAACAGTGTGGTCCTCGTGTCAGGGGTTAGGTCAGCATGAAGACCAACTGAACAATTCAGGCAAGAGGTAAAGTCTAAGAGGGAAAAGGAAAAAGAGGCTGTGAGCTCACAGGAAAAACATATTTACCTCTGCTCTGGGTTTCTGGTGCAGAATTCCTACACTTGGTGATACCTGCATGTCAGGAGTGTCTTTGTGCTAATGAGGTGACTCAGGTGGGCTTCTGGATGAGGACTAGTCATCAGAAAGAACAAGCCTTGCTAAGAAGCGTGGGATTTTCACGCTTCTCCAGAGAGGCCAGAGGGGCTGGAAGGAAGCTAATGTCTGGTCACACCCATGAGGAGGCCCCCATAAATTCCCAGTAGCACAGTTGTTTGGGGAGAGCTTCCAGGTGGGTAAACACATCCACACCCCATGAGGGTGACGCACCCCAACTTCACAGGGACAGAAGCTCCAGCACTTGAGACTCTCCCAGAACTCGACTGGGTACCCTTCATCTGTCTCCTTCCTCAGAGTCTTTTATAATAAACTGGTGGGCACATTCCTGAGTCAGCTGCTCTAGCAAATTTATGCAACCCAAGGCAGTCAGGCATAGGTGAACATGGGAACCCCAGGAGAAGCACTGTCTGTTGGTCAGCAGCACCGGTGACAACCTAAACTTGCCACCAGGTTCGAAAGTGAATGGGGTAGGCGTGGGGACAGTCATGTTGGACTGAGCCCATAACTGGGGTCTGACGTTCTCTCCAGGCAATGTGTTGACTTGAGTTAGTGCAGGCACCCCAACTGGTGTCTCAGAGTTGTTTGGTTGTGGGGGAAACCTCCCGACTTTTGACCAGAGTGTCACAGAGAAATGAGAATAAAGGAGACGCGCCAGGAAAAAACACAGAGGTGGAAGACTTGGGTTTCCCTACACACAGGAGGAGCAGCACTTTCCCTTCATATAGGGAGGGAGGAAGTGGACTTGTCGGCTGGGAAATTTATGAACATGACAAGATTTTGCTCAACAGAACCCACATCCCCCAGTCTTTGTGATCATCTAGGGAGGTCATTCCAATATCAGTTTCTACACTTTCTCCATGAAGAACTAGGAAGAGCCCTTTACAGGGGTGGCTGAAAGAACAATCTAGGGGTAGATCTGTCCAAGGCCTCTGATGGGTCCATTTCTGCTTCAGGATGCTCCTCCTAACTCAGACAGGGAGTCTCACCAGAAGCACCGGGTCTTGCTTTTTAGTCCTGAGAAATAGAAACAAGAACTTGTTCCTCAAGACATAGACTTCAGTATCTGGATCTACAGGCAATTGGATAAAAAATATCTACAGGCAACTGGATAAAAAATACCAGCCTTGGGCCTCCCCAGTGGCGCAGCGGTTGAGCGCTGGGTTGCGAAGCTGCCCGCAGCCTCTGAGGCGCCGGTTCGATCCCCGGCTGCTCCCTGGCCACCGGAGGAGGGTCCCACATGGTGCGCAGACCTCTCCTGCCGCCCGCTGCTCCCCTCAGCAGTGTACTTCGGTCCTTCTGCCTGCTCTGCTCCCCGCTCTGGCTCTGGTGAATTCTCTCACCCTCCCGCGCTTCTGACTGTACCCAGTGCATGTATAAACAAAAACAAACGAATAAATAAATAAAAACACATGCCTCTTTAAAAAAAAAAAAAAATACCAGCCTTCTGATGAGACTGTGCAAAGCCAGCAAGACCAGGCCACCAGGCTTCATGGCAACAGGCGACCCCAGGAGAAGCTTGCCTGGAGCAGGGAAGGGACTGCCCCCTCTGCAAACACCACAGAACAGGGTGCAGGGAAGACTAAGCAGTTCTCTCTTAGCATTGCAAGGTCACTCCAAGTAACATCAGGCCAAGATGTGGACTGTGACTTACGACACAAGATTGCTCTTTGGATTTACTATCAGATGCTTCAGTGGAGACATTAACAAGGTGCCTGAGCAGTTCCCACCTGCACCAGGTTTGGTTATTAACAGTCACGTGGGACTGAGCCCATAACTGTGGTACTCTACCCAGAAACTCAGCTCTGGGCTTCACTGAGGGAAGGCCCAAGCTAGAAGCCACCATTAGGGCATGGAGCTGTTTGTCTCTTGATCCACAATAGAGAATTCTTTGGACACCACACATTAGAAATTACTTTCCAATGGTGAAATGAAGAGGCTTTAAGATGAGCACATTGTCTGGACATCCTGCCCATGTGAACTGGGCAGGATCGAGGGAGGCAAAGCTCCTGCCTCCGTGCAGGGTCCTCACACCGACTGTTGGAGGAACTGTTATCTGTGCAACTAGAAAGTGAGTGTGGCCAAAATATTCTATCTGTTTTGAAGGACCTTTCACCCGGGGGGGGGGGGGCACTGAAGTCCCTAGAGGATAGTACTGGGACCCTAACCCAGTACTGGGACAGGACACAAGCCTGTCCCAGCGGCTGCCTCATGGCCAGCCCGTGTTACTACTGTTATTACCAGCTTTCATGCCACCATTCCACCTGGAAGGGGGTCTGAGAAAGGAGACCAAGGAGGCTTACTAATTTTTAATTATTAGAGGCTGCTACAATCTATCAAAAAGAACTCAGTGATTGTGAAAGATCAAATCAGTCAAATTTAGGACCTTCTGCTGTGATCTTAAGTATTCCCAGAACTAATTAGGGAACTTCTGAGCAGAAATTGGGGGTTACTCATAGACCGTTGGAACTGTTATGTGACCTCATGTGGACCCACATCAGAAAGGGGCCTGGGAAATCTGGGGTTTCCTCTACATTCCTAAGCAGCTTGCCACAGTGCATGTCTGGGAAATACGTACAATTCATGGCATCAAGGTTCTGAGCTCAGTTAAGCACCACAATTCTGTTTCATAAAAATCAATCTTAAAGCATTTTGTTTTCATCTTTATTCTCTTCCTGATTATAAAAAATAATCTTATAGAATAGTGAAAAACAGAAAATTTCCCCAGAATTCCACCCTCAGTGATTACTACCCTGTAAGTTAAATCTTCCAAATGTTTTTAGGTATCCAGTAGTAAATAAACAGGATCAACTGGAATTCTCCAATACATATAAACTATTCTGCTCTTGTGCAAGTTTTCACATAGTTCTGATTAATAATTCAACTGAGTGGTTTCCCCGGAGCTTTATGCATTAGGTTTCAGAAAAGATTCAACCACACAGTAGCTGGTAAAACCTCTAAATTTTCTCACCATTCACTATTAAATATTGCCCAAAGTATTATAGGCGAAAAGTTTAAAAAATAGGAAATAAAGAATAATGAATTTGATATGGGAGAGAAAACAGTCCAGAAAACCTCATTCTTGCATCAAAATAAAAACCTGTACATTGCAATTCCACCAAGTATCAGAAAATGACTCTGAAATTTGAATTTGGTCAACAGTCATCTCTAGGTCATCAAACAGAGCCGTAAAAGTAATTCTACATTCTTTTTCTTGGACCAATGTGAGAGAATACAACGTATGTGGCCATCTAGAATGTCTTCAGTTCTAAGTGAAGTGAAATGATAACAAGATCTAGCAGAGATGAAAGAATTTTCCACTGGCTGGGGAGTTCAGGATGGGGAACTTGGCACAGATATTCAGCTTTTGCAAGTGGAGGAAGTGAAGGAAAATTTCGACTCAATCTCCCACAGCTTCGTCTGTAATGCCTTCAGAACATCTTCCATCTATTGAAGAAATATTTTTAAACATACAATTATGATTAAAATCACACAGGATTAAAACATATAGTAAGTACTGCTACAATTTCTGAACACTGTACACTATACATATTCAATGTTTTATGAAATAGAGGCATCAACTAAATTTCACTTAAAAATAGACATAATTCTATTAACAGCAGTTCTCAACCTCTAATCTGTAGCTCTTTTATGTGCTCGTCACTTTCTTGCCTCACTGGCCATAAGATGCCAAAATTCAAAAAATAAGGCAGCTTCTACCATGGGGATTGAATCAAATGAAATACTGAATGGAGTAAAAGATACATTTTTAGGTTAATAGTTTTAGAACATATACTGTTTTGATTCTGGCATGAAATGTCTTCCTTGTTGGTTTTTTGATAAAACTTTAGCTGAAGCTGTAATTCGTTTCCCCAAAAAATGACTTTACTAACAAGTGAAATGAAATCAGCACTCTCTACTGAGAAGGTTCTAAGATTAAAACAGATGTCATTATGAGGATTATCTGTGGAGGAGCACTTGTCCACCGACACGGAGCTGCTCATATAGAGATATAAAAAGTACAGAACAAAATTACCTGTTTTAGAGATTTTTCTATTTCAACTCTGCTTTCAAGATTAAAAAGCTCTTTCTCTTCTGACACAATTTGCTTTTCAGAAGACCCTAAAATATAACTGAAGTACAGCAAAGCACAAAGTTAAAACGTGAAAAGGGAACAGATATTAAATGCCTGTTGATAATACTAAATCTTATTATAGGTTAGTGCCAAGTGAACATGAAAAAACAACTTTTTTTGTTAATGGCAACTTACATAAAATCATGTTTTTTTTCCATAACAGCTTTATCCAGATGTTCCTATACATTTCCCAATATTATATTTTATTATTGCTCTTTAATAACCTGGATGGCAAAACATTAATACTTATAGTTCAAAGTTCTATTTTAAAGTTTAAGAATCCAGAGGGAGCCACTGCTTTTTTGGTTTTTTGGCTGTAAATTCCAGGAACCTGTGTACCTTTGAATTTGACTTTTAGTAAATAATCACCTGTAGCGCAGCTCCTGCCAACCCAGATCTGGGCAACTTCAACAGTTACCTTCCCATTAGTCTCTGCTGGACTTTCTGGGGTTATGAGATGCTGTGGCTTAAAAAATTCTGAAGAGCAGAAAAATTGGCCTGGGAGCAGGAGGAAAACAAGCCCAGCATTTGTAGCCAAATAAAAGGAAAAGGTGCTAGTATTTCTCAAAAGAAAGCTCAATTTATTTGCATTTCTTTAGAAATCTTTCATCACATGTAGCGACTTCATTATGTCACTTGTTTTGCCAGATAAAAAGTCTTCTCTTGAAAACCCTATTGATTTTATTTCTGAGAAATGGCTAGGGACAAACATTTGCAAAGGCAATTAACACCCTGTTTATAAAAAAGAACCATGCGATGAGGTGGAAATGTTAAATAACATTGAGTAATTTATAAAACCGTGCGTCCACACTGCGGAGGATATCCACTTGAAAAACACACCAGGTTCTTTGGCATCAAAATCCTGCCCCCAGAGGTAACTTTTACCCTAAATTCAACTGTTCAGGAAAAAGCAGTTTCACTATTATGATTTCCTGTGGCAAAATCTTCTGTTTTCTTTTATACAGATATATTACTTTTTAAAGTTTTATACCAGTCCAAGTGGATGAACATTTCACATCTTTCGTACTTGTCCTCTCCCATACCTAATTCTCGGGAGGCTAGGAGCACCTGTTCGGGTCTAGCTATTCTTTTCATGGAAAAAAAACAGAACAGATCTGGTATCTCTCTGGACGGGCCTACATGCTTTACAACAACGAACAATACGTCTTACATTATTCTTTTGTGTAAGAACTATAAAAAGTTCACAGACTTAAAAATGGTGATCTAAATCTAAGTTTCAAACAAGGTGGCAGAACTGCAGTTATTACAGAATAATTAGATGAGAAATTATAATTATTAAAAAAAAAGAATACTGTTTTAAGGAGTAAGTTGAAATTAATGGAGTGGCAAAATATCTCTAGTAATGAAAGTATAGGCATTCTTTTCTCCCTGAATTGTTCACCTTTCCTGATATATAAGGTTTCTCAGATTTCCTTGAAGTCTAGAGGATTACATCTCTTTCAGGGTAAGTGAAGATACATTGGTGCCAACTGATTTGTGTTTCCTTAAAAAGGCTGATGAATTGGGAGGCCATTAAGGGATCTGAAATTCTTTAACTTAATGCCTGTCATCAGTCCTTAATTTGCCTTATTTCTTAACACTTTTTAGAAATACAGGAAAGGGAAGGTATTTTCTTGCAGCTCTCAAAATAGTGGGTCATTCTTTACTAGATGCAAGGAAATATATAGTTAAGATTTATACCTAACTTAAAAAAATTTAAGTTTTTTAAATTCCCATTTCTTCATGACTTTCACAAGGATAAAAACTAGAGGAAAATATAAGGGACAAAACATATTGACCCATACAATTACTTTTAAAAACTTCTATTAAACTAGATTCAATTTTTAAAAGCAAGATCTTCTTACTAGAAAAATTTTGCTCACAGTGCTTTCTCTTACAATTCAGATTGTCTTACTCTTCCAACACCAAACAAATCAGGTCAAATATTACTTGGAAATCTATTTTAAAAGTGTTGATTCTGCTCTGAAGTTTTCATATCAGTTTCTCTACACACAACTTTCTGGGAAATCAGTTGTAACGGTCATTCATATATCAAACTTACCTTTCGATGGCTTCAACACTGAGGCAGAACAAGTCCCTCTTGTAATCTAGACCTTTGGGGGTGCATCTGTATAGGAAGCCAAGGTTGAGTGAGCACCCAGCACAGTATAAAGTTTGCAGAATGCTGCAGGAGAGGACACCAGTGCTTAGACACAAGCAGCAACCTCATGACAAAACCACATTGTTAACTTCCAAAGACAAGTAAACATTCAAGTTGCAAAGTATGTTCTTCAGACCCTACTAAGTGCTGTGTATAAAGGAGGAAAAGACATCGTCAGATGTTATTAGAAAAGTAGCCCCTTGTCTCTAGGCCACTCTGATGGAAGCACCTAGTAACAAGAGTTATGTATGTGATGAGAGAGAGAATATACCTAAGTGCTGTTTCTCTAGAATGTAAATGCCTCCATCTGGTATTAAGAAAAGTCTAAAATCTGGAAATAAGACAAAAGGATTCCACATGTCCTTTTAATGTTATACTGTCCAGCAAGCCCACCTGTGATCATTCACATTCCGGGGCAGAGGGCGGCACTTTCTCTACAATGATCTAGAGAATAAACATCCTAGGCCTGCAGGCCGTCCCTCTACCACCGCAGCACGGAGCAGCCACAGACATGTAACTGGACAGACACTCTGTGTTCCTACAAAAATGTGTTCACAAACACAGGTGCCTGGTTCACTCCAGCAGAGGTAGCAGTATTTGCTTACTTCTCAGATGTAGTTAAGATGACTGGGGTTCAGACACTCTAAAGATAGCTGATGGCCTGTAGAAAGAAGACTACTAAGTTACAGATGATTTTAGTCTGGAAGAGAGCGAACATCTCTTGCTACTAGGAAAGATGACCGCAAAAGCAGAGGGTTAGCTGTCCCATAGGGAGCTTCCCCGCTTAGCCAGCTGTGCCATATGCTGGCTCCCTCCTTAAATCTTTGACATGTATTTGTGAGAGTTGCCTTTTTTAAAAGTTATACTTTGACACCAGCACTGTTCTACCAACTATGGATATGTTACAAGTAGTAATTCACAACTATTTTACTTAATAAATATCACTATTTCCCCAGTTAATTGTTTCTTCATTCCAGCTACTTCTCAATGCAAGCTCTACATTTGAAAACCCTGCCCACCCCATGGCAACATATTTAAATTCTTTAAATCTTAGAATTCACTGCCTCCCAAATGCCTTACAAAATGACCCAATTTCTCATGCCATAAATCAGTATCTACACTAAACTTACATTCCCAATACAAGCTAATTAAATCTGGTAATGATCATAATACACCACCAAAAATAGTTATTTCAAAAGCACTGCAATTCTTACGGTGAAGCACTTATAACAACTAAAGAGCCATTCCTACCATCAAGCAGAACGGAGGCACCAAGACTACTAGCATCACCGGTCACCACAGACACCTAGTTACCTGGAATCACTGCAGCAACATAAGGAACAAAGAACAAAGTGGCTCCCAGGGTGATAAATTATAAGCTCTCACTGATGACATGATCAACACTATCACTATATGTTAAGCTTTCATGGGCTTTGATAAGCTTCTTTAAGCCTCAGGAAGGAACCCCAGCTCTATGACCAACGGACCAGGTGGATCTCCTTGCTACGCAGTCACTACAAAGTGGCTGTAGCCTATCACCAGGACCGTGAACAGACGCTTCAGATACGTGTCATCAGCCAAGAAAGGACACTTAGATAAACCTAAAATATAAAATACACTCATCAATGGGTAAGACCGTTTTATCCTAAATTACCAAAATCAAACTAAATACCACTAAAGAGCTCATCCATTCATACTTCTAGCGGGATCTTGGGAAGCCACAAAGAGACAGTAACAACTGTTGTTGCACTGTCTCTCTGCTTGCAGAGTTGCAGCAAAATTGGCCAGAATTCACCCTTACCATAAAAACGAAAATATCAAATCCCAAGTAATTTCAGACAAGCAGTGAACCAGCTTGTAAGAACCTTAACAGATGACTCAGTGACTAGGGGACACAGCACTGCTCCCTTTCTAACATATTTCTATACCCACAAGCGCCCTGGCTGGCCATATGCAGAGTGGCTCTGGCAGCAGGGAGTAGGACAGACGCCCGTCAGAAAACTCCTGTGCATCCTAAAGCAATATGGCATTTCCGAAAGCATGGAGCATATGCCCCTGGTGAAATTCAAGATGATATGAGGCATAAATGGTGGGTTCAAGTGAGACGAGCAGAAGTAACACTGACTCAGGGAGGGAGAATCAATCTGTCAGTCCTAACAATAAAATGAAGACGGGCTCAGTCTTCAGGGGACTGGAGGGACTTTCAGGGGTATCTAACAGCTACAAGTCTGTTAACAGTGAGAACATACACCGCAGACCCAGAAGCAGCTAGGCAATAGCAACTGAGCTAGAACTTAATAACAGGTCTTCATGGTGATTATAATTGTAATTATTGTCCTTATTACTCTCTAGTGAAGGCAAGTGACAGGCTGACGGCAGTAACATAGATTCCTTTTAAAATAATTTAAGTAAAAATCCTGAGTCAATTTAATGAAAAATATTAAGCCATGATAGCACACTGGTACAGGGACATGACAAAAACAATGAAGGTGACATCAGTATGATTAGAGTTGAAATGCAAAGAACAAGTGACAGGGCACAAGGAGAGACACAAGTGTCACCCTAGCTCTTAATAGTGAGCCCCCTCTTCTCTCCAGGACTTACTTTCCTCATCTACAAAGTGAGAAATTATTTAAGGCTGGGTTTTCCAAAGTTTTAGTCACTTGAATGCCTGTATAACAATTTTGGGACAGCTACATACTACCTGTACTATCAGGAATTTAACTCTCCTTAAATAGAGTACTTTTTATATTTGAAATACATTTTATTCGAAAAAATCAAAAGAGGACATTCTAGCAATTCTGAAAAAAATGAAAAACCAATACTTTAAAATATCCATTAATGCATGTAACTACTAATTTCCATTTGTTCACGGAGGACCTTAAGTTACTTCATGTACATCAGTAAAACACACTTCAGGCAACAATTATGACGAAGCAGAGCTTCCCATGCAGTTTTCTGAGGATGCCACTTGCACGCGGTGGCTGGGATGCAGATGTCAGCGCTTCCACCCTGGGGTGGCAGCAGGGCCTGGGCTGCTGGAGACCCGTGCTGGTTGTTCTAGCCATGCGCAGCCTGTCTTCTACCTCAGCAGCTGCATGTATGTGTGGTCCCAGCATCTTCTGTGGGTGCCAGGACATGACAGATGTGGGTAGTGTTGGGCTAGGTACACTTTGACTCTGAGATTTTCTGATGCAGACATTTTCTTTTTCAATTTTTATTTTGGATGTTCTTCAGCAGCAAGCCCAAAGACCCAAAGGGAGTGTCAGAATATGCAACAGAAATTTAGCAACTCTCCCACTGCAGTCTCTAAAGGAGACCATCGGTATGCAAGAACTGGCACGTTAAAATGACTGACCTTATACTGAGCACCCACCATGAAAAGAGTCTTATCCCAAGTAATCTATTGCTAGTAATGCTTCTCAGGATTTTTATTTGAAAAATAAACATCTTCACTGGCATACATATTCACATACACATAACCTTACTCACCAACCATTTTCATTTTTACGTTTGGATAGGATCTGTTCCTTATCCACAGAAACATTACAGGAAACACCTAAAAAGAAGTTACAAGAATTGATTAACATGGTCTGTTATAATGCACATGCAGACATTTAAAGAACTTCTAATTCAACCTTTATCTTAGAACTCAGAAGGCCAGAAAAAACGACACACTCACAAAGGTGGTTCAAAATTACATCTTACAGGGCTCTTTCTAGAAAAAGATGATAGCGCAAAATGCTCACTCCAGCTCCAAAAATGGATTCTTACCTGGATGACTGCACTAACTCCAAACCAACCTCCCTACTTCCATGCTTCCTCTCAATGTTTTGTCAAAAAAAAAAAACTAGGTCAGATCACTCCCCTGTGTAAACACTCACTCACTGGATAGATCGTGATTCTGAGAACAACCTACAAGTCCCTGAATTTTTGGCCCCTTGCTTATCCCCTAAGCCATATCTTTATTCTCTTCCTCAACCCTATTAGCCTTAGGACCTTTGCACCAGCTGTTCCCTGTGCCTGAAAACACAGACAGACCCAGAACTGCAGATGCAGCCAAGCTGCCACTCAAGTATGGAGACAGCAGAAAGACAGTTTCAAGCAAACTTGGTTTTCTTGGGGATGGGGAACCACAATTAACCAAAGAACAATTCAGGAGTGAGAAAATTATTAATATAAAAGGACTGATGAATAGGAGTCTTGAAACTGAGAAATGAATTCATATTAAATGTTATAGAAACCAGACACATGGGTCTTGGGGAGCTCGCTCTCTCGCTCGCCTCCTGGCTTCATGGCTCCTGGCTTGCGGCCAGCTCTAAGAATGCCATTTGGGATTCCAGATTGGTGGATCAGGTAGGACGCATTTAAAACTTTGTCTCCCACTTTTCTCCCTGAGTTGTACATTTCCTCATTTGCCCTTCCCTTGTAAATAAACCTTTTATTAACCTTTCGTGTGTGCCTGCAGTAGAGTATTGATAAGTCCTTTTAAGCGCGCGGGTGAGGACCCACAGTCAGGCAACCTGTTTTGTATCGGGGCTGCTGCTCCCCGCTCTGGCTCTGGTGAATTCTCTCACCCTCCCGCGCTTCTGACTGTACCCAGTGCTTGTATAAATAAATAAATAAATAAATAAAAATTAATCTTAAAAATATATATAAAAAAAAATTTAAAAAAATAAAAAAAAATAAAAAGCTGTTAAATTAAATGAGATTAAACTCATCTACAAAAAGAAAAATTTCTCCTACTGTATCAAAAAAATCTGTATTAAATAACGCCTGGGGTTGTCAAGTCACAAACTTGCAGTTATAAAATAAGCAAGTCCTGTGGATGTAACTACAGCATGGAGGCTAGTTAGTAATACTGTGTTGTACATGTGAATGCTGCTGAGAGTAAATCTTACATTTTCATCACAAGAAAGTAAAACGTGTGACTGCATGTGGTTAACTAGATGTAACAGGTGTTAACTAGACTTACTCTGCCCATTCCACAACATATACAAACACTGGCTGATTACCTTGTACATCTGAAAGTGGTAAAATGTGATATGCCAATTACATCTCAGTTTTGAAAAACTTAACCCAAATACATGCTGTTCTAATGGTGGCAAACTGGAAACCACCTGGAGCTGTAGCAAGACACAGACTGGGAGGATTAACAGCATTTCCATTGGAGAAATCACTCCAGCACCACTTACTACATATTCTGAGCAAACTACTCCAAGCAGGTATTACCTGTTTTACAGGTAACTGAGGCACTGAGAGGCTAAGATGCTTGCCCATGGAGACAGGTCTAGTAAGTGACAGGCCAGATTCAACCCCAAGTAGCTACGAAAAATGTTAACTATATCTATATAAACTAATGTGGAAAAATATTCAGAATATACGTGCAGGATAAAAAAGGTAAGAATGCTTAACAGTATCAATAATATAACCTCATGGGTGTTTTTAAAGTTACATGTTTAAACACACTCATACATGCTTGAAGCATGTCTGGAACTAACCAGTACAGGGTATGAACTCTGGGGTATGAGCATGTGGGTCACTACACCATTCTGCACTATTTGATGCAAAGGATTAATTAATACGAACAAATTACTATGGGAGCTGTATGGACTCAGCAATGATCGTTAATGAACTGATGCATCGTTACGGAACACAGCAGGTCCCCAAAAGCTCCAGGAAACCAGGCAGACATTGGTTTATTCCTTTCTTCTTGGGATTCATCCCAAGGAGAACATCCTATAAACATCGATACACTGGTAGTGAATTTCTGCCATCCTGATACTTATTCTCTCAACTCTGTAGTAACACCTCACCCTGTCAAGTCATCTGCTGATAACTACCAAGATTTGAGAAATCTATCCTGGCATCTCCTTGCAAGAAGCAGGCAGCTGAAAAGCTTGATTTTCTAAATAAACTATTACCACTATTACCAGTTGACAGTATGCTAATTCGGGGAGGGGGGGAGTGATAGAGTGGCTGCACCCCAAAAGTCTACAACCTAGTTGGTCATTTTTTTCTGGGTACTGCTCACGACGAGGCTGATACGTGAGCCCAAAGTGCAGGGGCGACCGCCCCCTTTCCTGGCACGGCTCACCCTTTCAGAATGGGCCACCTCGAAAGACCCCGGGCACCCCGCCTCCTGCCGGGCCCCCCAGTGCAGCGCGCCTGGGAAGAAGGCGCCCCCCCACCCCGAGCCCGAGCCCGGAAACTGACAGCGCAGCAGGATGCAGTTGGTGTCCTCCTGGCTCATCACCCAGCTCAGCGAGTCGCCCAGCGGCCGCCGGCAGCCGGAGCACAGGAACACCAGCGGCATCTCCTCCTCCGGCGCCGGCCGCGCCCCCGGGCGCCCCGAACCCTCGGCGCCCGCCACCGACGCGTCCCCGCTCGCGGAGCTCCACGTGCTCGCCCACTTCTGCAGCAGCCGGTGGCGGCTCGAGTCTTCCGAGAGCCGCTTGCCCAACAGTGAGGAGTCGCTCCACTTGTCCCTGTCGCCACACGCGCAGTCGCTGCAGGCTCCGTTCTGGCAACAATCCTGTGACCAAGCCCCCGCCATTATTTACAAGTCACCCGCGCCGCGGAGCGTCACGGGAAAAGCGCCCCTGCGCATGCGCAGGGCGGGGCGGAGGCCAAGAGGAAGTGTAGCGAAGGGGCGGGGCCTGGGAGGCGGGGCGGTCGGCCGCATGTTAGTGCGCATGCTCGCCGTCGGCGCGACTGCGTTCGGTGGTCCCTGCGCCTGCGTCAGGCGTTCCGTGCCGGGAAAGGTGAGGCTGCTGGGCAGGTGGCGACCGTCTGCTCGTGAAGTGTGAGCAGCCCCGCCCCTGGAAGGGGTGACGGCTTTGAGGAAATTACAGACCCAACACTTTGTTAAAACCCCGTTTCCGGGCCTCCCTGGTGGCGCAGGCTGTTGAGCGCAGCGCTGTGAAGGTGTCCGCAGCCTCTGCAGCGCGGGTTCGATCCCCGGTCGGCCAGGGAGATACCCACATGGCGCGGCAGACCGCTCCTGGCTCGCCCGCTGCTCCCCTCAGCAGTGTATTTCAGTCAGTCTGCCTGTTCTGTTCCCCAGTCTGCCTCTGGTGAATCCTCTCACCCACCCACACATCTGGCCTGTACCCCAGTTCTTGCATAAATAAATAAATTAAAAAAAAAAAAACTTTTCCGAGGCCTCAACGGAGGTTCTGAAGCGAATAACAACCCCCTACCCCAAAGGCGTTGAGGTACACGCCTGCTTATGATGCCTTGTTCATCCTCGAGATGCTGGGCCCCTCACAGACTTTAGCGAGTCTGAGAATCACTTGGAAGCTGGTGACAACACCGATGATTGGGCCCCACCTTCACAGATCTGGCTCAGTGGGTGGAAGTGGGGCCAAGCGTTTGATTTCGAGTTCCACACTGCTCTGGTTTGTCTGCCTGTTACCCTCAAGGTGCAGAATGTAGGAGTTTGTGGGTGCTGCCTTGTTACTCTTTCCTTTTGTGTACTGCCATGGCCGGAACAGGAGCCGGGGAAGGGTCCCCGAACTCTCAGGATAGTGCAAGAAAAAGCCAGCCAAGAGGGGGTGGGCAACAGTTTGGAAAACTTGCAGTGTCGGGTCTGGGATCCATTCACCCCTTGCCTGAGTGAGCACCCCTCCTGGGTTTTTAGGACAATTTCCTCGGCTGCCCCATAAAGCTAGCCTGTCTTTAAAGAACCACAGATCAAAACTGGAGGGGTATGGATCAGCTATGCCAGGTCAACCTAACAGTGTATTCGGGAAGAAAGACCCAAAAGACTTGGCTCTTCCCTAATCACTCCCGGCTTTGGGCAGATAAACTGTTCACCTGAAATTTACATCCAATTTTAGTGACTCTGGACACTAGCCAACAACAAAGGCTAAGGAGTTAGAAGTCTTGGGTTAGCCTACACTTTGATGTGCTAGTAACGGTGTAGAAACTGGAAGAGCTCTTGCCCTTCCCTGGGTTTGTTTCTTCATGGATTAAGTAGGTCCATTATGTAATATGTGTGAAAATACTTCCGTGTACTGTGCCCTTGTTCATCGGCCTCCAACAAGAAGAACATGCTTCAAATAGTACAGGTTTTTATTTCTCCCACAGAGTTGCCTTCCCTCCCCTGGTTTCTTTCGTGACTTCCCTGAGCTGCTATTTTCAAGCCCACTATCAACGTGGGTTGATTCAACCCACATCTATTTTTTTAAGGGAAGAGTACCTTGAAATTCAAAGGGATTCTCTCTTTGCCTCAGACTTTGGGTGCCTATTGGAAACAATTAAATTCTTTGGTGGGATATCCCAAAAAAGAAGGAATACAGGCAGGGCTGCCTGACACTTTCGGCTGTTCCAGGTCTTACACTTTGATGGACGCCTGCCATTAATCGTCATCATCATCCAACTGAGTTGATACAAAGATAAATGTATAAATCTATATTAAGACATTTTCTTTGACTTGAAAGTTTTTGTCCTCTTGATTTTTAAAAGAAATTTTAATTTTTTTTTCATGAAGCCCTAAAAATACCAGGGGCTTCAGACCCTGTGTTTCCTGTGCCTAATAGAAAAATCATCTCTAATGCAAAGTGAACTCCTCTTAGTTACAAATATATTTGTATGATGAATGTAAAATATTTCGTTATCTACCAAGTCATATTTTGTGTGGGGACAAAACAAGATGACCTTGGGCTGTGTAGTGATAGTAGATTTGTGAGCAACCCTCCTCCCTAGTTATACAACCCCTGCTTATCTCTGCTGCTGCCACCACCACCAATTCCAGGAACAGTTCCCCAGAAGTATAACCCAATCAGGATGACACATCTTTCACATCACTGATACAAGATGGCATCTGCATCCTGGACTAGGATGTTGCACTGGAGACAGGGATCAACTTGGGCTAACAACTTGACCTAAGATCTCGAATTTGTTCAGTCAGGGTAAATATCAAGGTTCTCATTCAGTGTTTGAGGGAAGAGATGTTCTCTTTGTTCCCTTGAGATGAACAAGGAAGCACATACTTGGTTTGCTTCAGGCAGCCATCTTGTGTTAATGTGGGGAAGGGCAGAACTAAGAGAGAGAATCATGAAGAATTAGTATCCAAACTCTGGACTCTCACTTATGTGCGCCCACAAATTATGGTGGAAGCCAATTTGAACAGTTTGTTTTCACTAGCAATTAATAACATATGTAGCCATCTGTTACCATCAGTTAAAATTGAGGTTTTGATTGAGACTCCAAGATGAGGTAAAAATGGTAGAGTGTTCCATATCTACGGTTCCCCTGAATTCAACCAACCACAGACTGAAAATATGTACTATGTGTTAGACTCAAGATGGTTGCATCCGTAATGCACATACACAGACCTTTTCTTGTCATCATTTTACAGTCTGTTCACACAAGTCATGGTGGAGAGTGAATCAGAAGAGGCAAACAGAAAGAAGCTTACACAGAAGCAAGTGGAAGATTATCTTTGTCCAGAAGCAAGTGGAAGATTATCCTCAGCAAGTAAGTTTCAAGGGTATAGTAAGAAGCAAAATAGAGTTCCATTTTGATTCCATCCTGCAGTCCTTCTTGTTCAACATGCTTGTTACACAGACCATCTAATTCCACTTTTTTTCACCAGCTTGATTCAAAAGATTTGGTAAACAATAAATAAATGCTAGGCTAATATAATATCTACAAGGAACAATAGCAGAAAAAAGTGATGTAGTAAACTATAACAAGGGGAGAGATGGAACAGAAAAAAAGGGGAGAAGAAACTAATGAGACCTTGACTTATGCTGAAAGAAGTTACGGGTTTTTAAAGAAGCTCTGGCAATTGGGGGAAATCAGAAATAAATTGCTCTTGATTACCATCATGGACCAGATTTTAATAGCATGCACTTCCTTACCCTTACACATGAGAAAAACAATGAGGTGTGATTATAGGTTGCAAGAGTCAGTCAGCTGGCCCCGTTAGCATTTAAAAAGATGACTGCAGCTGCCTTTGAGACCATTTCATCCTACTCTTAACCGGTAGAGATATCTTCAAGCCAAATGGCACCCACAGCTGCCTTCCCCACAAGCTGGCACCATGAGAATGCCATGATGGGCACTCAGCCCCCAGGACCTTCTGACCCAATTACAGCCTTCCTTAGGGGGATAAGAGGCACTGTGGGTAAGTGTGGTTAGATATTTATATCTGTGTTCCAGAGGTGAAACAATAACGTCAGGAATATGCTTTACCTTCTTAAAAATCCTCAGAGGCAGGATGTTCTTTAAATAGTTCTGTTTCCCTCTCCTAGTTGATGTGTGGAATCACGATTTTCCGGTCTTTAACAGAGGTATTTAATTCTCATGCAAGTTAAAAAAGAATAAGGAGAAGAACATGTGATTTTCAGCAAAATCATAATATAGTTGAGCTGGGAAAGACTCATAATGATGCTTAACACACACAGCTCATTCTACAAATAGAAGAGCTGAGATCCAGTTGGTTCAGAAGTCACGGATCTAGCTCGTGGCAGAGATCAGTGGCTATCTGTGTTCTAGCTCCAGCCCAGCCCCTTGCCCTCTTCCTGGGGAAACTGCTCCGCTCCTCCCTGCCTCTCTCCAACAATGTGGCTGTGCTGGGGGTTTCCTATGTTGCAGGTCTTTGCCCCTCTCCTACCCCATCCTAAATATGGGCTGTACCCCAGCTCTGACAGACTGCCACCTTCTGATCCCAGGTGGCGGCTCCCCTGGGCAAGCAGGAGGCCCCACACAGGGTTGCAGGGGCGGGTTCACTCCTAGCTGAAGCTGGTGCCCTCTCCCTGGGCTTCTGGGTTCAGCATTCCTCCTCTTCAAGCCCTGTCTTCACTCTGTTGCGGTGGGCTCTGGGGTCTGCGCAGTGGCCCCGCCTGGTAGCTCCTCCAGCTGTTTTCGGTTGGGTCCATTCGCTGCTTGCATTTCAGGAATGATGGATATTCCCGGACCATTCTCACAGTGGGAAGTTAATTTGTATTTCCTTGAAAGGAGTGATGTTGAACGTTTTTGCATACGTCTACAGGCTAAGGAGGAGGGCTTCTTTGAGAAGTGACTATTGAGCTCCTTCGCCCACAGTTTATTTGGGTCATTTGTTTCTTTGCTCTTGGGTTGTGTAAGTGCCATGTAAATTTTGGAGATGAAGCCCTTGCCAGACACATGGTATCCAAATACATTTTCCCGTTTTGTTGCTTGCCTTTATGTTTTGTGATGGTTTCTTTTGAGGTACAAAAGATTTTTAAGTTTGTATTGATCTCACTTGATTATTACTTTTTTTAAAGATTTATTTATTTATTTATACAAGCACTGGGTACAGTCAAAAGCGTGGGAGGGTGAAGGAACTCACCAGAGCCAGAGCGGGGAACAGAACAGGCAGACTGACGAAATACACTGCTGAGGGGAGCGGTGGTCGCAGCAGGAGAGGTCTGCGCACCATGTGGGACCCTCGCCCAGCGGCCGGGGATGGAACCAGTGCTGCAGAGGCTGCGGGCAGCTTCGCAACCCAGTGCTCAACCGCTGCGCCATCGGGGAGGCCCTCACTTGATTATTTTTCCTTTTGTTTCCTTTGCTGAGCTGCTGCAGCTAGGTTCCCAAATATACCTTTGTAGTGATAACGAACGCTGGGCTCAGTTTCCTTCAGCCAATAAAAGGAAACAGTTTGAGAAGGAAAGTAGTTGATTTGTCTAAAAACGGAGGAGGGCAGCAGACTTGTGGCTGAAAGACTACCGTCCTGCTCTTTGGGGGAGGGTAGGGGTATGTATACAATGGGGTAAAAAAAAAAAGGGGGGTGGGTGAGTCTGTAAGGGGGAGATAAGGAAACGATGGCTTGTCCTCTTGATGCAGGCCTGGGGAGACCAGCATAGGTGAGCACCAGTCTACCATGTTAACCCCTTGGTGTTTAATTTCATATGTCTGCTTCTCTTCCAGCCTGGCAGAGGCTGCTGGGGTGAGGAGAATGAAATCTGGGGAGCAAAACCTTGGCACTAGTCCCACTCCCTGCTGCCAGGGACTCTGGCTGGCAGGTGCTAGCCCACCATCTAGACATTCTGCAGGGTTCCACCTTCTTCCCCCTTCCATGGACATTTCCTGGGAGAGCCCTGGTGTGGGAGCCAGAAGACCTGGGTGACTGGCTTTGACACTGTATCTGGAAGGGTTACCAGGTTCCACTGATGTGGGTTTGGAGAGTTCTTTGGTTCAGAGAGTGGGCTCCTTGGATTACATCTAAGAAAAGTTCCATCAGAGCTCTCCCTTCAGCAGCATCCAGTGACTGTCCCCAGAAGAGTTTCCCCACCAGGCAGAGATGTTTAGTTCTATCCAAAAGGGCAGGTTTATTTTAAAGAAAGAGAAGGGAAAGAAAGGCCGCTTGCAGAGACACAAGCAGGGAGAAAGAGCTGCCCCCGAAAGGGCCGTGTTTGTTAAAAGAGACGGCTGCCTAGGCCCAGGTGGGCCGCTGCTGCTTTGCAGAAGAAGGTGGGTGAAGAGAAACACCTGCATGGGCACAGGCAGGCAGGGGAGCTGCCTCTTGCCAGGGCGGATTGCATAGACAGTCTGCTTTGCTTTGGGATGGGCTCATTCCCAGTGGGATTGGCAACTGCTGTGAACTTAATTATTGCTGAGGTTGGCACTTAGGGATCTTTTCTACATTTGGTTTGAGTGGGTAGATTAGAAAGGACCAGTGTTTTTTTTTTTTTTTTTAATGTCCCCCAGCCCCCATACCCCCACCTCTGGATACTTTAAGGACTGTGTTAAACATTTCTACCCCCCCACCTCCAGTTTCTGGTCTTGTGATGCCTCCTTCCCATATTTTCTACTCTTAGCCTCCATCACCATTACTGATCTTCATTTTTTCAGCTGTGAAACCAGGGTTCTGGACTAGGTGACATGATTCTCAAGGACACCTGTGAGTCTGAACGTCTAATTCACTTGAGGATTTTCAAGTCTCTCTTTAGCTCACTTGCTTAGTGAAAAAGTGTGCCTCTCCACAGCCAGCAGGTGGCAGCAAAGCCCTGTTCTGAAGGGACTGTTGGCCTGGGTGGGCTCTGCTCTCCAGGCTCCAGAGCTCGGAGTCCAGGACTGGTGGCTGGGTGTCCCTGCTGATGAAAATGACAGCAGCAGCAGCAGCAGCGTTATTCTGGTTAGCTCAGCGGGCTCTCCCAAATTTGGTTCCTCAAAACATTACTCCGGTGATTTACTCAGTGCATAATGAAGAGGTTCCTGGGTCTATTAAGAATGAGAAATGGTAGCTTCCAGAATCTCTCTCCCGCTTTAAAAGTTAATTACATACTACCTCACAAGATCAGAGAAATCCTTGAAGTAAGGCGATGAGTTCTACTTCATTTAACCCGGAGATCCCCCAACTATGTCTTTTCTAAAAAAGAAAGTGTGGGGCTTCCTGGTGGCGCAAGGAACACTATGAAGCTATCGGCAGCCACAGCAGCATAAGTTCGATCCCCGGCCAGGGAACTGACCCACTCAGCACAACAGACCTCTCTTGTCTTGCCCGCTGCTCCCCTCAGCGGTGTATTTCAGCCAGTCTGCCTGTTCTGCTCCCCACTCTGTCTCTGGTGAATCCTCTCACCCCCCGCACCTCTGGCCTGTACCCCAGTTCCTATGTGCACAAACAAATAAAAGAAATCTTTTTTTAAAAATTGCAAAAGAAAACTATAGAATGGAACTGCAGATTTCTGTGCACTAAACTCCAAATCTCAGATTTCTTTTTTTGTTTTAAATATTTTATTTTTCGCGTAGAAGAACTGAGGTGCAAGCCAGAGGTGTGTTGCGGGGTTGGGGGTGGGAAGGTGGTGAGAGGATTCTCCAGAGACAGAGTTGGGAGCATAACTCGCAGCTCCACTGAAATACACTGCTGAGGTGTGCAGCGGGCGAGATGGGAGAGGTCTGCTTTGCCATGTGGGTCAGCTCCCTGGCCAGGGATCGATCCTGGGCCTTAGTAGTGGTGGTAGCTCTGAAACTCAGCCTCTAGGCCACCAGGGAGGTCCAAACCTCACAGATTTCTGATGAGAACCTAGGAACAGGCAAACTGCAAAATAAGATCTTATTCTCTCTTTTCTCCTGTCTTCCTCATGGTCCATGAATGAAGTACTTTTTTTATCTCAGAAAAGTGCTTTGTCTCAGTGAGGTCAAACAAAAACAATGACTTTAAAGAACAATCTGACCTTCCTCCCCCTGCCTTAAGATGTCCCTAGCCTTGGATCTTAGAGGTTCTGGTCATGGTTAAAATGAGACATTTAGTCTACCATGTAAGGATCTTAACTTTAATCTTGTGTTAAAAACCTCCTTCAGATGAAAGAACAATGTGTGTATCAAACCCTAACGTGAAATCCTAAGTTATTGAAAGAAATAGACTCTCTTTGTTTCAAAACGGGCAAGGTTCTGGAAAACTGCCCACCCACCCGCCATCTCTTGAGGAAGGCGATGGTTGCTAGAACCCCCAGGCATGAAATGAGTGGCTGAACCCTGCCAGAGGGGATAATGACAGCTGCACCTGT